AAGATGCAAAGCATGGGGGAGAGAAAACGAGGCAGAAATGGACGGAAATAAAGTTGCTCTTTGTTTAGGCCAGAGGCGTTAGGGACAAAGGAAAGGAAAGAGGAGTCAAAATAAAGGTGTGCTGAGTCAGATGCAACTGTAAGACAAAAAAACAAAACCAGAGGGGAGAGAGAGAGAGAGCCCTCCAGCTAAATCTAAAGAAACTGGGACAGCTTGAAGTGGGTGAAAAGCCAAAGGGTTAGGGCACTGCAACAATATGCTGACATGAATCATGCGTGGAGCCATTCATAAATCCTCCATTGATTGAAACTGCCACATAATAGCACCAATTTTCTAATTTCACGGAAAAAATTATGCAGACATTTTTTTTATGCCTTGCAACATTACGATGAATCCTTCTTTATCCCGCTGAAGCAGTGACCGCTCAACGACAAGATGTTGTTCCTAACGCATGAATAATTCACGCTTACCTTTGGAAAACAGCAGCTAATGTTTAGCAGCTTTGCGCCAAACAAGATTTTTGTCTTTTATATTTTAAAACGTACTTAGTAACTTAGTAATCAAAGGTTTGGGGGAATCTCTGGGTCTGAGGATGTTTTTTAGAATTTGAACTAAGCAACTTTGTCCATCGATCCCTTTTCTTAACTGCTTATTCGGTTCAAAGTGGCCGGATCTCGCTCTTTTATTTATCTCATTTTATTTTTTTCAGAAATTTTAACACACAGAAAGGCCAACTTCTTATGCACTGGACCAGTGGTTTGTAATTGCCTCACATAAAGTTCATACTTTGTACAAACTGTGGAAGCAGGTAGTCTGTTGGATTAGGTAGTAAAATGTTATGTTGTATTATTTAGGTGCTTTTACATCCCTATCCTGTACTGAAACACTGTGCTCAACGGTTTTATTTGCACCTATATATGATGTAGCAACCATGATGTCACCCTCTGGTTTCAAATTCTTGTTTTGAAGACTCAAAGAGATGGGTTTTACCGTTACCATCTTGTTGGTGGTGGATCTGACTGTGGAACTGCACGCTCATTGGCTTGATTACATTAGCAGCCGGGAGGATATCCAGGATAATCCTCTTTTCTAACACTTGGAATGACCAAAATTGACCTTACCTTATTCAATATGACCCAAAATGACTGACTGAGCTCATAAACTCACCAGGAAAGTGTTTACAGGGGTTCAGCCAGAGGCTTGCTTCTTCAATAGACTTATATAGGACTGTAAGTGTTTCTGCATCCACAAGTACTGCCCCCTGGAGGCCACTGAAAAAATACAGGTTTTAGGTAAGCTTGACTTTTCAGATTTGGAAGCTATGTCTGTTTTTTATACTTACTATTTATCTATTAAGAATCAATAGATTACAGATTGCATAATTGCAGACCTCTCTAAAACTGTTAGCTATAACTCATGATGTAACTTGATGTGCACCTTTATACTTCAGCGCTGAATCTATCTCGAGCCTATTATGTAACAACTACACATCGCATCGGTGAAGCTCACAGTGACTGTGATTGGCACACTCAGTACCATTGTCTCATCGTATGCATTTTCAGCTCTCTCAGACTCTACTGAGATTCAATGCAGAAGAAGAAATCACACATAAAGGGGTTCCCTGCCAACCGAGTTTGTAGCTGATGGTTGTTTGCTCGAGGACACTGGTCTCTTGCTGGTAGGTAACTCTCTAAGGTATTTCCCACTCCCATTGGTAGCTGTCTAAATCACTCAGATCAGTGTTGAGATAAGTTTAAGACGAAGTTATCAGTCTCTAGTCTCTCCCTCTGTGGACACCCCTTCAGGCAACAAGACAACTTGATGAGGTTTAGAGAAAATCTGATTTGGATGAAAACACTTTTTAAAACACTAACTTCATCTTAGAAAGCATGCCTTCCAGAAAGCTTTGAGGTCAAACTACACAGCTGTATTTCTTGAAACTTGGTGAAGAGACAGAGCAATGAAAAAGGAAGAATCTGTGAAATTTTAGTAAGGATCGGAATAACTTTATTTGAAATTGTATAACAGGCCATTGGCCTTGGCAGAGGCTCCATGATGATCATGCAGTGAAAATCTAATATTGTTACAACCCTAGTTATTAGCCTCTGGGACTCATACCCATGGTTCTACAATAAATAACAGCACATCTCTTATCTTCTTGCCC